CCTGTTAATCCCCATTGCCATCATCTTAATTCAAATGACTGTTATTTCTCGCCTCATTCCTGACATAGCCTCCTAACTGATCGACTACTGCTAAGTCACATTTCTTCCTGTCCATGTTCCTCTGGAGGTAAAGGTTCTTTCTTAAAGAGTCTGACTGTGCCTTTCTCCTGCCATTAAACCTTCATAAGATCTCTCTTGTCCACAGGATACAGTCTGTAAAAATATGGTATGTAAATATCATCAATATATGTTATGAGGCCACATAAACTGCTTTTTACTGAGCAGTTGTATGAATCCCAGGGTCCTTATGTGTTTATTTCATTTAATCAGCACAGCAATGTTATAAAGTGTTATTAATACCCTGATTTTGTAGAAAAGGATAGCAGGAATGTTCATTGCAGCTCAATTCATAATTGCCAGGTCATGGAAGAAGCCCAAGTGCCCATCGATCCACAAATGGATCAACAAACTGTGGTATATGTATGCCATGGAATACTATGCAGCCATAAAGAAAGATGGAGACTTTACATCCTTCATGTTCACATGGATGGAGCTGGAAATTGTTCTTCTTAGCAAAGTATCACAAGAATGGAAGAAAAAGTATCCAATGTACACACCCCTATTATGAAGCTAATTTATACCTTTTATATGAAAACTATAACCTAATAACAGCCTAAGAATATGGGGAGGGGGGAGGGAGAGGGGAGGAGGGCATGGATGGAGGGAGGGGGATTGGAGGGATCACTTCTGTAGTTTATCTTACAAGGGTACAAGTGAATCTTTCTAAGAGTAGAATATGAACGTTTTAACACAATAACTAAGAACATGACATGAAGGCTATGTTAACCAGTTTGATGGAAATGTTCCAATTGTATGTGAAAATACCACACTGTACCCCAGAATTGCATTAATGTACATAGTTACCATTCAATAAAAATAAATAAATAAACAAATAAATAAAAATAGAAAAGTATAGCAGAGCAACAAAAAAAGGCTAACAGACTTAGTACATGTCAGGCACTTTCTGAACTTTTTGTCTATTTTACTTCACTTAATCCTCATAACAATGTAATGAAGTACAAGTTACTATTTCCATTTTACAGACAAAGAAACTTATGCACAGATAATCCAATTAGTCCAAGTTATCCATCAGTAAGTAATAGAGTGGGATTTGGACTCCAATCTAAATCTTAAAGCTCTTCTTATGGACTCTTGCACATGCCTGAGTCTCTGCATATGCCAGTCCTTCTGAGTAGACTTAGACTAGATTAACTCCACTTGTTCACATTTTAGTATTAGAAAAATCTTCCCATGACCGATGATTCCACTGCATTGATCTTTTGTTCTTCTCATTTTCAAAACTTTTTTTTTTTTTTTTGAGACAGGGTCTTGCTCTCTCGTGCAGGTTAGAGTGCAGTGGCACCATCATAGCTCATTGCAACCTCAAACTCCTGAGCTCAAGTGACCCTCTTGCCCCCAGCCTCCCAAGTAGCTGGGACTACAGGCTTGCACCATCACACTAGGCTGATTTTTCTATTTTTAGTAGAGATGGGGTCTCACTCTTGCTCATGCTGGTCTTGAACTTATGACCTTAAGCAGTCCTCCTGCCTTGGCATCCCAAGGTGCTAGAATTACAAGTGTGGAGCCACTGTGCCTGGCTGTAAAAATGTGTGCTTGTTTCTTATCTTCATTATGATCATATCTTTGTATGATCACAGGATATCACACAGATTGCTGACCTGTCTCCCTGAGTTTGATTATACTTGTAAGCCTAGTCCCCTTCCCAGTGCCCAATGCATAGTGGTCAATAAAAGTCTATTTAATTCTACCTGTTCAAGTCATCTATTTGGACTTCCCAGGCATCATTTCTTAACAGAGTACATATCCATATTTTCTTTTCACAGATTGAAAAGATATTTACATACCTAAATCTCTTTCAAACATGAATTATAGTAAACAAATGCCAGTTTTGATCATTCTGTATCAGAATCTTGAAAGGACTCTCCTGGCGGGTAGCAATATACATTAATGCATAAAGAATGGTATAATTTAGAGTGTCATAAAGGAATCAAAGCAGTTTTTGAGAATAATTGAACATACATGCAGAAACAAGGCCACCTATGGTTTACCCCACTTACTTTCAAATAATAATCCATAAGGACTTCTTTCTCACTCAGAGTAAAAGCCAGACTTTTTACATGGCCTATTAGAATCACAAAATACCCTCCTTTCACCCCTCACCCCTTTACCCTGTCCTGTCACTTCTCTGCTCCTGTGTTCCTTTTTCTCATTTACTTCAGCCTAGCCAAGCTGATACTACTGCACTGGCTCTCATCTGGAATGCTTCTCGTTCATACATCACAAATCTAATTCCCTTAGCTTCGGGCTTTGCCCCCTTTCTCAATGAGGCTATCCTGATCACCCTGTTAAAATTTGAGTCTGAGAAACTGATATGCTCTTTTGCACCCCCTCATCTTGCTGTCCATAGTCTTTACCACCATCTAACACATAACACACCATAAGTTTTATTTATGTCCATTGTCTCTCTCTCTGCTAAAACATAAGCTCCAGAGGCAGAGATCATTGTCCCTTTTCATAGCACTGAGGAGTCCAAGTGCTTAAAACAAGCCGTTAGAAAATGCCTAGAACATAGTACAGACACAAAAGACATTTGCTAAATGGACATAAATTGTATGGATCTCAGACTCCACTTTTTCCTTAAAAATCACCCTTAGCCAATCATAGAATAGAATGGGTCATAGAATCATTGTGGTCCAGTCTGGATCCTCTTCTGTTCTGTTCCTATTCCAACTGGACTATTCTATTATGGAATATTCCCTTGGTTAAAAATTAGATTTAGCTTATATACTCCCTGGCCCTGGCAATGACCTGCATCATACCGGGTCCACAATGAGTTACCATTTTTCCTTGATAAAAGGTCAACAATTTTTTTTTGTTGTTGCAGTTTTTGGCCAGGGCTGGGTTTGAACCCACCACCTCCAGTATATGGGGCCAGCGCCCTACTCCTTTGAGTCACAGGTGCCACCCAAGGCCAACAAATTTTAAAGGCACTATGTTTTGCAAAAATGTAAGGAAATAGATTTGCTCAGTAAATGTCATTTTGGTAGGACTCTATATGAATGCAACTTCTTTGAAGGGCTTTATGGACAATCATAAACAAATGTACCAGTGTGCACAGCCTCTAAGAGGATGATTTTATTACTTATATTGTCCTTGATACAATTTATTTTTGTTGTTGTTGTTGTTTAGCAGGCCCTGGCTGGGTTCAAACCCACCAACCCCGGAGAATGGGGCTGGCACTCTAACCATTGAGCTTGGGCACCCAGCCTACAATTTGGATTTTTAAAACCATGTGCATGCATTATTTTTTTCAGTGAAAAAGTTAATTAGAAACATTGACTCCTATTGACAGGAATACACTCCCATTCAGACAGCAACATATTGCTTCCTGTGTCACACCATGAAACAGCTGCCAGCAGCAGCACCTTTGCCATCTTCAGTCCCACATCCACGCTAGGTTTACTCCAAGGCTCTGAGGGCATCTACTTAAATCTAGCTATTCATTCATATTTTTTTCTGCCCCCTCCTTCCTTCCCCTATTTCAGAAATAATTCAAGAGGACAGATGGGAACTTGATACAGGTGCACTAAAAATAAAGCTAATCAAAGTAATTTATACCTATTTGCACAATTCATAATATTAAATTTTAATTAAAGGAAACCTGTCTTCCTAAAATTATGCATCATTTAGGCTGTTTTCATGTTTCATTTCTCGAACACACACATACTTCAACAGCAAGGAAATTGTTCCCAAATCGTGGTGGAAGGTTGGACAAGGTATTCTTCAAAGTGAGTTTGAGATTCCCTTTTGAGAATGAAAATTTGAAGAATCAAACCATGATAGACGAGATCAGTAATCTTTAGTGATAATGTAACCAAAGAGATCACCTTTTAATGTTTGATTAACATTTAGATAATAACCCAAATACAATCAAGGCAATCTGGCTATTACTTTAGGAAAGCAAGACTTCAACACAAGACTGAAATGAAGAAAACTTAAACCTTATCAACTGTAATATGCTCTTTTGGAACACAGAATTATTGGAGGTAGGGACTGTGTGATACATATAAAAATGGCAAGCAGGAAAGCAAGTATTAACATTTGCCATGTATAACTTAAATGAGCAGAACAGTCTTAATTTGGTCCATTTGGAAATGTTTATTCCCTTGGAATATGTATCAAGGAAAAGCCATTCAAGTTATCCAACCCATCCCTGGCAATGATTCCACGTTCCCTGTACCATCTTCCTATGTTTAACTGCAGCCAAACTCACTGGATGATGCTTCAGTCTCTTAAGACCCCTGGAAGCTTTAGGAGTCATTTAGTGTAACCCTCTCCCAATACAGGAATGGACCCTGCTAGGGCCTGAATGTTTGTGCCTCACTGCTCCCCCCATTCTTATGTTGAAACCTAAGACCCAAGGCAACTGTAATAAGAGGTGAGGCCCTTGGTAGATGATTAGGTCAAGTTTAACCTGAGGGAGCTTGCTCATTCTTCCTGCCCTGTGAAGACACAGTAAGAAGGTGCCATCTTTGAAGCAGACAGTAAGCCCTCATCAGAATTTGCTGGCACCTTGATCTTAGACTTTCCAGCTTCCAGAACTGTGGGCAATAAATTTCTGTTTATAATTACCCAGTCTAAGAAATTTTGTTATAGCAGCCTGAATGGAGTTAGACATTCCCTAACTTCACATCACCTCCTACCCTAGACCCACCATCCATGATCCTTTTAAAGAAGCTTGCTCTGCAACCCCCAGATAAACTCTCGAGATCTCCTAGCTGTAGTCCCAAGACTTTTAGGAGAAACTCTTCAGATTCTTTTCAGGCTCCCCAAACTCAAATCCACTTTTATAAGGTAAATAGTTAATGTTCACACAACACATTATTTGGCCACAATTGGGGGAAAGGAAACCACAACTATTACTTTAATTTCTTTATTTGTCAATAGTATCCAGAAAAAAAAAATCAGGAGTAACAAAAACAAGTTAAATGCAATATGGAAGCCTACTAAATACAAGTACATTTTCACAAACACATAGGCATAGAAACCTGTTCAAAGTGTTTCTTGAAATTTGACTATTAAAAAACATAAGTGTAAAGAAAAGACATTCAGACTTGTCCACATGGGCTTATCTGCAGGTGGAGGAGCCCTGCTTTCCAAAAACAATGAGGAAGTCCAAAGTCATGGCATGTGAGGAGGTTTCCATGGACACTGGATCTTAATAGATGCTGTAATGTTTATAAAACCACACACACACACACACACACACACACACGCACGCACACAGAAAAAGCCCAAGGAAGCTTGCAGTCTAAGCCCTATGCTTTCAGAGGGCTGAAGGAATTGAACTTGATTTAATCCTATTTGTTTGCTCCATGCAAAGCTCTATGCAAGACTCCCCAGACTAGGCTATTTAGCAGCTTTCCATGAATGGTCCTCAGATCATGTGATTGTATGGTGCAGACAACAGCTGCCCTATTTAAACAGAAGCAGCAGAATTCAAGAGGAATGTGGATTTGCTCTTGGGAATTCAATGTTGCAGGGTAGAGTAGTCTTGGATAGTAACCACTATTCAAATGTGACTAGTGAAGGACACTGTGATTTCTTGTTTTAAATAAACTTTTACTCCTGCCCTCTCCCAGAGTGTCCAAGAGCTGGCAAAACTTTTGATTAAGGCATGCGGCTGTGGGTTCTCCAAGGCACTTGGACAGGGAGTTGCATTTCAGACTGCACAATGGGGTTGGAAGAGAGTTTTTAAATGGGATGATACATAAAAGTTTGAAATGCTAAACAAAATGAATTTGCTCCTTTCAAATGAGAACAAGGAAAACTAGAAGGAATTCCATTTTGGGCACGTGTTTCTCACAGTTTGCCTGCGCAGTAAAACCTAAATAACTTCTTTGTGGTGGTCTTTCATCCACTTTCCACAAATGAGATCTTAGTTAAAATTTTCATCTGTCTTGTTCCAAATGCATCTTAAACATGGTAGTGAGGTTAATAACCAAAAAGGTCAAAAGACACAGGACTGACTGTGAACAACTGACTTCTCCCTAATCGCAGTTTTAAGATTCAATCTCTATTGTTCCTCCTCTTGAATTTGAAACTTTCATTTGTCCTCATCTAAAGGGAAAACTCGTTCTCTTTCCAACCAGAGATTAAACATGGAATGGAAATGTGAAGACAAAGTGGGATGGTCTCTTTCCTACTCTCTTCCTGGGCAGGCTTTCCCCAGAAGGCTTGACATCACAGCACAACCTGCAGGGTCATTCAGGCTGAGGTCAAATTTGGTCATTTTGGTTTTGGCTGTTTTCTTATTACAACATTTCACTTATCCTGAGGAAGAAAAATCACAAGAACTTGTCTCCCTCTGGACCAATTACCAGAACCATAAAATTTATCATGTATCAAATTTAAAAGTTAATGCATTCTTACCAGCTCACTGAGGAAACTGAGGCCCAGACAGCAGGAGGCAAGGCCAAAGTCACTCTTCTAGTTAGTGGTAGATCAATAAATATATTTGTAGGCTGGGATATCCTAATCCCTGCTAGGCTGCACTTGTTTCTATCCTTTGGAGTACTGACTTGCCTGAACTCTCAGAATAAATAAAAGCAAATTAACTTTTGGATCTTGAAAGATTTGTATGAAGATACTTCTTTTCCCGGCTTCTGAGGCACCTTCTGCTTCTCTGGCAGACAGCTGACCTACTGGAAGCTAGGGGGGCCAACTCTGGGCTGCATCTAGTATGTGGTAGGGTGGGGAGCATCTGGGTTATATAGGTCCCTGTACCAGGAAGAACCCCAAACTCCTTCCATCTCTGAAATGGTAGGACTACTTAAAAATAATTACAAAAGCTTAATGTCTAGTCAAGAAAATAAAATATTAAAAACAACAACAATAATATAAAGATAATAATTGAAGAATAAAGTCAACTTGCCAAAAGAAAGTGTTTTACACAGAAATAGCACCTTTGGTAAAAAGTATTTTAAAAATTTGGTTAGGTTTCTAAGGGGCTTGAAGTATACAAGTATCTGCATCATGTGGGTGTACCCTCCCAGAAACTCCATCCACATCTGGGGGACACTGGGTAACTAGTAGGGTGGCTATGCATTGAGAGGCTGCGATTGGGAGCAAGAGGAGAAGCGCAGATGCTAGAGGTCTGTTGTGCTGACAGCAACAGGAAGGGGCCAGAAGCAGCATGCATTCCTTTCCACTGAGCTTCCCAGCCTCTCCTCCAGGGACAGCCTGCTCAGTTCTCTCTGGCACTGCGTGCACTCCCTGTAGCCTGCTGACAGCTGCAGTGGACTCAGAAGGGGTGCAGACCTGGGTCCACTCATCTTTCAACCCTGATGCAGTTTCTTTACGTGCCCCCGGCCCCAGAGCACCATTTACAGTTTCTCTCAAAGCACTCCTAGAAATGGAGGCTATGGCCCTTCCCCTCCTAGCCAGCCACCTCCATATCCTTTATTGCAAAACAAATAAACAAAATAAAACTTGTTGCTATACAAGCAAATACTGGTGATTTGGTGGATTGTAGCAGACACTTGCGTATACTGGACTCAGCGCTGAAGTCGAAGAGAAGGTGCTGGACTCCAGACACCGTCCTAACATGCCTCTTCATTAGATCTCTTTGGTGTTCACCCTCTTAGTCTTTTCAGCTGTTTCCTTTGAGATGCAAGAGAAAATAAGCATCATGGAAATATTTAAAAAAACAAAACACCACAGGCATTTATCTAGAGCCTCAAGACCTTGAACAGCATTGACAGACACATGCTTATGCTGAATTTCCATTGTTTGTCTGGCTTGTCCATGGAGGATGAATAGCTAGCAGCAAGAACCATGTCCTGTTCATGACAGGGTCAGGCAGGAGTTGTTTATTGAATTAAGAGCTAACCCCTCTTTGAACTCTTATGAAACAAGCAGATCAGACATTGTTACTCCCATCTTAAAGAAGAAAAAAAGGACACTCCATGGAAACAGTACAAACTGTGCTGACTCCAAGAAGTCTAAAAAAAAGTATTAAGAGCACCAGACTCTGTAGGCAGAGTGCTGCACTTCAGTCACGGTTGTGTGACTTTCTGGGACCTTGGGCGTATTATGAAAACTTCTGTGTCCCAAAGTCTTCAACTACAAAATGAAGGTAACAAAGTACCAGATCTTACAACAGTGCCTGAGCACATTGTTCCAAAGAAAATATAAATATGGCTAATAAGGACACAAGAAGATATGTGACATCAATGATCAGGGAAATGCAGATCAAAACTGCAATGAGATTCCACTTCACACCAACTAGGGCAGCTAAAATAAAAATAATAACAATGAATGTTGGTGAGGATGTGAAGAAATTGGAACTCTGTTGGTGATGATGTGCAATGGTGCAGCCATTCTGGGAACTAGTCTGGGACCTCCTCAACAGGTCAAGCATGGAGTTACCATCTGATCCAGCAATTCCACTCCAGGGTACATACCCACGACAAATGAAGTATATGTCCACACAAAAAGTTGTACAAGGATGTTTATAGCAACATTATTTATCAGAAGCCCCAAAACTGAAAAAAGCTAGTCTCTATCACCTATTGAAGGGGTACACAAAAGTTTGGTTTATCCACACCATGGAGTATTATTCAGCCATACAGAGGAATGAAGCCCCAATTCATGTTGCAAGAATAAACCTTAAAAACACTGTATCCCAAGTGAGGAAGTCAGACAGAAAAGGCATATGTTGTACGATTCCATTATGTCAAATGTCCAGAATATATATAGTCAGAAAGAGACTGGAGGTTGCCAGGAACTGAAGAAAGAAACAAATGGGGAGTGACTTCTAACGGGTCTAGGATTTCTTTGGAAGATGATGAAAATGTCGTGGAATTGGATAATGGTATTGGTTGACAATCTTATGAACATACTAAAAGCCACTGAACTGTACATTAGAAAGGGGTAAATTTTATGGTATGGGAATTATAACTCAATTTTAAAAAATAAAATAAAAAAATTTAAAAAATAGGAAAAAACCTGACAACAGAGCTGGTACTAGCAGACACTCAGTGCTTCGCTATACACTGGTATGGCTCTGTCAGTGCCATGTCTCTTTGCCTGAGAGCTTCTTCTAGCTGCTGAAGTCCACTCTGTCCACACATGCTGGCAGGCTACAAGTGCTGGGGAATTAACGTTTCTTGGTAGTGGCCTCAGGCAACAAGTAATTGGAGAAATATCCCAGCCCCCTCCCTGCTCATCTGTTCCCAGAGTCCCCCAGCAGGACTGAGTCCTACTTGCCCACGGTGGTAACACGCCTGAACACTCTTTATTGCTTCCTTCCCTTCCTGGACCCATTTCCCAAATCCCCCTTTGGTGTTTCCTGGGATTGCCTCCCAAATAAACTCTGCCCACTTGAGTCCTTGCCTCACCATCTGCTTCTGAGGGGGACCACATAAAACAGTCATTTAAAAATGTTAGCTATTGTAATTCACTCTCTATCCTAGATGGAAGTAATTCCTATTAAGTGCTTTTCCCCCTTTAGGGGGTTGAAAGTATTTGAGGCTGAGGACTGGTGAAATCTGGAAAAGCAAAAGACTAGAAGTTTCTGTTTCTGCTTAAACAACTGACATGAGATTTCTACACTATCAGTGACAATAACAAAATGGGCATAAAGAGCAATTGATAAATATGAGCCATTACTATAGTATTAATAGTTCTTTTCACTCATGTCAACCTCATCAATATTATTTCATCTCAATAGTTTAGCAGTTCTTGTGATCATTATATTCCTTAAAAATTTTTATGTCAGGAAGAAGGACTGTACTAGTAGACAAGGTCTATAAACAGGTAGTGTAAGATGCGCTATCTTCTGACAACCCTGTGGGAAGACAGGCTCAGATGTCCAACATTTGCATAATATGTCAGTGGATCATGACTTTGCTAAGAACCCTTTCTGCATGGAGGCCTTCAACTTAATTGACTAGAACCTAAACAGAATGTTTATTTATTATCTTCTTGTGCTTCCTTTCTGAAGACTCAAGAAGATAATAAATCCCGGCCTATTTTACAGCCAGACTGGCATTTAACTTCAGTCCTTTCTGTTGTGCTGTAAGTCCACTAATTTCACAGTCATTGATGTAGTAGGTTCTGTGCTAGATGCAAGGGTCTGTGGTGAGCAAATTATAGAACCTGCTCCCAAGGAGCTCATGGTCTTAACGTCTGGGTTCTGGTCATGACAGGGAACACTAAGGTTTCTTTAAACCACGCTCATTTGCTAACCACTTCCATCTAATTAGCAAATCACTACCTACCTGGTTCTTTCCTATCCAGCTACTCACCAAGTTGGTGAGTACCTATTGGACCCTGGGAGGGCTCCCCCAGGGAACTGCTGGTACTGTAGTTTGACATTATAAGTGGTGTGGTATCTTTCAGGATCCACTGTGTTGAACAAAGTGTGTCTCCTTGGTCTTCTAGGGCAGCAGGCAGTGTCTGCATGGTACAGGGCCTACTGGCATCAGCAGTATTTGAACTAGCATGGAGGCTGCCACTTACCTGGTGCTTCTGGAGCTCCTGGATGTATCTGGTCATCTCCTCCTCTGTCTGGGTTTGCGCCCCCTTCTGATTCTTTCCTGAAAGAAGAACCAAAGCTCTGAACTGGCAATGGGAAGCCAGTTAGGATCCACCACGCTCTACCTTATAGATTCTCAAGTCATTTCCCATTTAACATGTGGAAGGAGAATTGAATTACCCACACTCCTCTGAGCAGGAAACCATGGGGATCCCTCACTGATGACTCCAAGGTAACCCATTGTAAACACAGCACTATACCCCCACTCTTTTCTAGTCACCTCTGTTCCTAGTGAATCCATCCACTGCTCAGCAATCCCTGCCAGGGGTTGGTCTTGCAGAAAAAGCTAGGGTGGAAACCTGAATGCAGACTCAGGAATTCCCTTGAGGCCAGGTTCTCAACCATTTACATACCCTCAAAATATCCTAGAGAAGATCTGAAAATTTAACTTTCTAGGTTCTACTTTCAGAGATCCCAATTTAATTGGTATGAGGTGGGGCCTGGACACCAGTATTTCTTTTAAAGTATCTCTAGGTGATTCTAATATGTAGCCAGGCTTGACAACTACTGCATCTAGTGATGTTTCCCAAATGTGCATAGTGATAAACCAAAACCAAAAACTACACAGGTTCCCAAGCTGCTCTTTTGCAAGCTGTGATTCAGTAGGTTTGTGATGTAGCCCAGGAAGTTCTACGTTTGTCGAGCATCACATTTATTGTTAGGAAACACTGCTAGGACATGTCTTCCAAATACTGGTAACAATCTGCTTCTCACAGCAATTCTGCTTGGCTCTGGCTCCACCTGGCTTTACATCTTGATGTCCCTTCTTGTTTGTCCCGACGAGATTTGCAATCTAAGACCAGACTACTAACTTTCAGGTACTAACCTGAAAATGCCTTAGAATGCCTCTTCTACAATTTCCCCTCAAATCCAAGGCCTATATACCAAGATGTGCTCAGGCCATCTGGATTGCTCTTTATACCCACATAGAGAGCTGGACTTGGCCAGCCAAGGAGGGAGGACCAGCAGTCCATGGCTGTGTGGCTGTGGAAATGGACATCCCATGGGGGTGATAGTTCCAATTTGTCTGATGCATGTGATGGGGATTGTTACCCAGATGATTGTGCTACAGTTCTGTAAGCCAGCTGAACGCCCACTGCCTACATCTTAGAAATGGTGGGCTACCTTTTTTCAAAGCCAGAACAGGAGCAGTTATGTGTGGAGAGATACTGACAGGAGTTTGGGGAAGATAAGCAGAGGGCATTTGCTGGTGAAGTAGGAGAGGCCACTGACTGGTTTGAGACACTCTCTGTTGGCTTTAGTTCCTACTGTGTTTCATCTGGTTATCCTGGCTTGGTCTTGAATTCCAGGAACTTCTAGGAATTTCTGGTCTCACAACAGACTTTTTGACCTGTTCTTGAAGTTAGCTTGACTTCCTACCTTTCTACACTAAAAAGGAACTTGGTCCCAGGCAGTGGTAAACCAGTGATCCCTTGGATAGTACTGGATTTCATTTACACTGCTGTGCTCCTTATCTGGAAGACCATTTTCCTGGGTCTTTGACCTCTGACTTCTGCTTACTATTTTACCTGATCCATCTTCAACATGACCAGCTTCAACATTCTTCTCCATTACAGACCTAGCTTCAACACCTTCTTTGTCTTGCCTCCAATCTGAAGGGTACTTGGTTATTTGCTAGTGCTTGGCTTGGATTGAAGAATCCTTCTTGACTTTTGGCATCATTGTAGGACCCAGATGGGAACCTCATGGTTCCAACGTACCCTGAACCCTTGCATAGCACCCCCAAACTCTCCAGCATCTTGTCTCCTCAACCCTTCCCATATCTCAACTATCTCAAATTTCTTGGTGTCTCTCTCGCTCTTTTTTAAATTAAAGATTGCCCAATTCTGTTGCTCAAAGGAGGGTCTACAAACATTTTTGTTGTTGTTGTTGTTGTTGTTGTTGGGTATGGCCAAAGAAGTCATTTCATCTTCCAACCACCAGAGTCTTTTACTTACAGTATTTCCTAAGATGTCATAAGAATTAAGTGGGTTAATCTGTAAAGTACTTAGAAAACACCTGGCATATGATTTTCAATGAATTAAGTATTTGCTTTCATTATTATTATTCCAGTTTCACAGCCTGGGTCATAGTCCTCTCTTCTTCAAAGCCTCTGGGGTGATTTTCAGACTTAATTGGATTTGGGATAAGCGCTCTGCCCTCAAGGCTGCCTAATGGGAGCTCTGACCTTACAAGCTTGGGTCTGTCACTTGCTCTCCAGGTTCCCTGTCCCCCACTACTGCCCTCTTCTCCACCATCCCCACCCCGGTTTCTCTCATGATGATTTCACAAAGCTCCCTCTTTGCTGTTCCTTCTTTTGCCTGGGGCACAGCTCACCATCACAGGTCATGGCTGTACAGACCCAGTTTCCACAGGCACAGACACAGCGGTTACAGTCCACCTCGGTCTCAGCCCCATCTGCATACGTTTCATCCTCCAGGGCACACTCTGTCAGACCAGAAATACAGAGGAACAGTTTAGTTCTGTGCATGGAACTGTGTTGTTGCTACTGTCTGCACACCTTACCCTTTTCCCAGTCAAGACCTGCTTGTCCCTTGGAGGCACTGAATCTGAGCAAATTCTACCACCAACCATAATATTCTAGGGCCCTAGCTTCACCATGGGGATAAATCTGGCTGGGGCCCAGTCTAGAATCATAGAAGGGGATTTCTCAGCTAGCTCTATAGAGTTCCCCCAATCTTTCCTATTTCCCTGGAAAATGTCTTATTCCATACAATCCTGTAGTTCTTAGGTAAGGCATACTCTTCTCAGGCGGGTTGAAAGATGGGTTGAGGCACTTGAGAAACTCTTGGAAGCTGAGTTTCCAGTCAGCATTTTCATCAGACAGTTCAATGAGAGCGTCAACACAGAGTCCTCTGAAACAAAACACAAGAGAAATGTGTCAGGCTCACACACACCTGGGGCCTCCACAGGCTACCAAGAAGATAGTTGTTAATTGAAAAAGTTTCCCTCTACACTGACCTGCCACAACCATTGTCTGTCCTGACTCATGTTAGTTTGTTACCCTGGACGTCAGATCACTGGAGCTGCTCTAATGTTTCCTTCAACATGACTAAAGTTTCAGGAATGGTTTTTGTCTACCTTGATTGACAAATGTTTTCATACCTGGAAACCTTTCCCTGGCAATTGCCTTTCCCATAATATAAATGTCAAGTCAACCAAACAAGGAAAATCATATGACAGATGATATGAAAGGAATATGGGAGCTAAAAAAACATGTAGTTCAACCAAGACTCGCTATTATCACTATTCTAGAAAGATTTTAAGAAAAGCTTTGTAGAACCTCAGGTCCATCAGTCTCCTCTCAGTCTGGATTTGAGCCCTGGAGTGATTTTCAGACTTAACGCATTTGGGATAAGCACTCTGCCCTCAAGGCTGCCTATTGAGAGCTCCAACCTTACAAGCTTGGGCCTGTCACTTGTTCTCCAGGTTCCCTGCCCCCAGCCACTGCCCTCTTTTACTCAATGAGAGCTCAGTCATTTACTAACCACAGAGCCTTCAGTTAGTTTTTTGACCTTTCTGAGCCTGCTGCCTCATCCATAAAAGGACAAGAAGCCCTCCTTCACTGGGATGTTATGAGGATCAAATGCTGAAATTGTAAAATATCTAATTTCAGATTATCAACATATGAAAGAATTGCAGATCTTATACTTCAAGGTTGTGTACTAGAAGTATGTGCTTTGTACTTATTTTGAACACAAGAGGGGCATTTCCTAAAGTTTCTTAAGGATTACTTTTTATTAATATTTATTCTGGAATGATAACAGAAAAGCAGAGGGACATATGCTTGCAACAATTAGGACAATCTATATGAAATAGCACTGATTATTTTAAAAAGCAGGACTAATTGCCATGTACTGGCAGGCACAGAATGTCTCTGTGAAAACTACAAGCTTGCCTATGTTGGAAGAAAAATAGTCAATGCCAGTGTACTTTAATTCGTACATAATGTATTATTATTTGCTAGAAACTGGCTACCAAATGTTTGGTGATGAAAGCAGAAATGACTGGCTCAAAGTCTGGAAGAAGAGCAAAACCTGAGGGTCTCTACAGAACAACGATGGGCTTTATGGCCACAACTGGGACAAGCAGGGGCTCTTTAAAGCCAAAAGACCTACCACATGCTGGTATGTGAACACCGCTGGGGTCAAAAGAACCATAAGGACACTGAAATGACCTGCTCTGAATAAGCAAAGGACCTCCCGGATCATCACTGAATTAAAACACAAATCCTGAGAAAAACCTTATAGTGTTCAAAGTTTGCAGACTGTGCTTCAGGAGGCAATCATAACTCATTATCTGCTGGATTGAAAATTTATCACAAATACTCTGTAAGAGAATAGTATCATCACTGTTCATCTGATACAAAATTCTTCTCAGAAAACTCAGAATTATGTGGACAGAGCTGATATGTTTTTTTATCTTGAAAAGGATGTTAAAGGTTTAAATTCTTGTTCCATTCTTCTAAGAAAATGGACCTGAGTAAAAGGGAGAACAACGGGCTTGAGATCCTGGTCAAACTTTAACTAGCTATGCTGATGAAAAAGCACATGAAGTTTTGATGCAGGGTCTAAAAGCTGGTGTTATTGCTGTCATTGTGATTATGACAACAGCAGTTATTGCTGGAATTGTGCTGTTTATTTCCAGAAAAGAGAGAATGGCTAAGTGTAGTAAGGCTGAGATAAAGGAGATGGTGAGATGCATAGAGAACTCAATGCATAGCTACGATAGTTTGAACATTAACTACAAGAAGGGAAATTAGCAAACAGACTCTCTTGATAAAGGCGACGAGCATAGCACAATGAACAGATCTTTGAAGACTACTATTTTCTTAGTTAACATCACATATTTGTAATAATGAAGTCTGTATTCAAAACATAAGCGGCACGAAATTGGCTTGACCAATCTTAAAATTTGACCACAAGTGTTTTATATATGCAGATGTAATAGAAAACCCAGAACTTCGGATTGCATAGTTAAATTATTTATGTATAATATTGAAGAGTGTACATTAAATATGCTTCTACAGTAAAGTCTGAATGACTGCTGTCTCATTTTTCTATTTACTTTGAGTCCTGTACACAACAAACTTTTTAAATGAACTATGAAATAAAACATTTTAAACTGAAAAAAAATCAGAATAAAGCTATTTTAAACCTCTAGGGAAATAATAGATTAATGTCATTCCTTCAGAAAATTAATTAGTACAATATTACCCACAAGATTCAGAAACAATCTTGCTCTAATATGACTTTGACAATTTATTTTAAAATTATGTTCCTCTATTCCTTGCAGGTTCTGACCAAAAACAATAACTATTCGACCAGACATCAGAGATGTTCAGTGTATTAGTTCATGATGTTTATAGACTAGAATAGGACAAAATTCCCATCTTGCTTTTTTACTTCACATTGGCACTGGTGGTTCTTCCACAGGTAGGAAGGGTTCAAATCCTCTCTCCCAGGCAGGCTTCCCCTCGTGGACCACTCCCTGACCTGTTGTCCCTTCTCTCACCTAAGCAGCTTGTTGTTCTCCTGGTCTGCATAGGTGGTGATGTTGATGGCAGTTTCATTCTGCTCCACAAATTTCAGGAATTCACTGGAGTCCAAGCGAGAGTCACCGTTATCAAAGTTCTAGAAAGAGCACGAAGAAACCTTTTAGGAACATTTTGTAGAACCTCAGTTCCATCATTGCTACCCTCGGCCTGACCCATCTCTGGTTCATCTTGTTTTTGCATGTTTCAAAACCCTTCCCTGGCCTGGCCTCAGGGAGCTAGACCAGCAAAGGCTGCCAAGGGTCTCTCCTATCTAGATCCTGCTCAGTATGAACAGAGGCCAGAGCTTCCCCAGAAACCTGGAGGGTCTATAAGTAGTCCCATCTCTGACACCGTCCTGCAGACATTTTTGACTTTACCATTAGATTCAGAACAGCCACCACACCATGTTCTCAAACCCCGATGAACAGGTAACAAGAGTCTGAAGTTGCAAGCTGCATATCATCAGCTGCAGTGGGACCCAGAATGCGTGTTGTTAATAAGCCGCCCAGAAACAGCAGTGCATGCACCCTGCAAGCTCACTTTGGGGTCACAGGGTCATATCTTGCTGCTGGATTTCCAACCTCCTAGGCCCATTCTCAGTGCTTAGCTTTTCACACCAGTACTTGTACCCGACCACATCACTGAGAACTCATGGGCAAAGGCCCCAAACCAATAAGCTGCAGGTAGGGGTGGGGTAGAGCCTCCATCCCTCTGCCCTGTTCTGTGGGCCCCACTGCAGACATGTGCACAGGTCCTCGCCCTGCCTGGCAAAGACTGTCCTGATGACCTAGGTGACATCCTGATAGCATGAGGAGAGAATGTGGTGAGTTCAGGCATTGTACTTCTACGGCAAGATGCTAAACCAAGTCCTCAGCCACTGGGGACTATCCACCCAGGCCACAGCTATAGGATGAAGATGTCAATTTCAAGACTCTGACCAGATTCCAGGTTGGATATTGCTGCTCTCCTAACAAGTCCCAACAGCAATTTTCTCCCCCAAATTCTTTTTCTAGGCTGCCTCATACTGCCGCCCTGGGAAAATATCAGGATCCATATTTCCTTACTTCCAAGGTGGATACCCAGATGGTGCAAGGGATTCTGAAGAACGTTTCCAGGTAGAAGGAAGGATAGGATATAGCTACTCACTCTTCTTTTATGATGGCCATGGGTCGCATGTGTTGGCCTCTAAGGGTGGAAATCTTTCCATAGCATGTACAATGACAGGCACACATAAACAACTCCCAGACCCTGGCATAGTACCTATTTACCATTCTGTCCTAATTCCCAGGGACGGGTCTCAGGTGTTCTTCACTCAGTGAAGACTCACCCAGAGGAAAGTTTCCTAAGTGTTCACATAGTGAGATCTTGATTAATTAAAGGAAAATAACTAAATAGGCTTGGCCTGGAGCCATTCTTAATAGCACAGGAGTTCCTTGAGTTCAAATGTTTCATAAGTGGGCACACAGGAACCACCCTCAGAGACCAACATCCTTAAGGCTTAAGGGCAGAGTGTGTGGAGGGAGGGAACAGTCCAGCACTGGCTCAGACCCAGTGCCAGAGGCCTCCAGGGACACCCTGAACCTGGAAACTACAGTGCACGTAGCTCTCAAGAGACAGTGGTGTGTGCACACACTTCAAATTGAGTGGGACCAAAATCAAGGCCTGAAGCTGCAGCAGGGCCATCCTATCTGCACTCTGGGGCCTCCCTGAGTCAGGTGTGTATGTGCAATCCACATGGACACAGAATTCTGGGAGCTGCCCCAGAAATAGCCTGGGATGCCAAGAAGGGGGCAGGTCTTCCTATGGGTTCACAATCTGGGATCCTGAACCAACCTAATTCATTCAGTCTCTATTCAGCCAATTAGTTACTCTATACAGGCTGAATGCCATTTATTGAAATGCTTAAGACCAGGAGTGTGTCAGATTTCAGATTTTGAAATATTTGCATATACATAATAAGATCTCTTTGGAATGGGACCTAAGTCTTTTTTTTTTTTTTCTTTTTGCAGTTTTTGGCCAGGGTCAGGTTTGAACCCACCACCTCTGGTATATGAGGCTGGTGCCCTAGTCTTTTGAGCCACAGGTGCTGCCCAAGGACCCAAGTCTGAGCATGAAATTCATTTATGTTTCATATACACCTTATATATTTCGCTTGGAGGTAATTTTATACACTAAATTTTTAATGATTTTGTGCATGAAACAAAGCTCTAACTTCATTTTGGCTGTGACCCATCACATGAAGTCAGGTGTGGGATTTTCCACTTGTGGTATCATGCTGGCACTCAAAATATTTTGGATTGTAAGCATTTTGGATTTCAAGTGGATTTGGGTTAAGGCTGTTCAACCTGTACTTGAGATAGCAACACTTTTTTTGGATATTAACGACAGGGTTGAGGAAAAACAGGAAGGTGTCTATACAGCAGCTGGGGGAATGGGGGACATTATGCCAGGGTAGAGGAGGGAAGAAAGCTGGCCACCAGAAGTCAGCCACCTGGAGCCACATATGTGTGCAAAAATGGTCCCAGAAGGCTCTTTCTACCTGGGTCTTCCCTCCTTCATTTTCTTTGAACTAGAAATAGTGACCAACTCAGTGGTTATAGTGAATAATCAGATTTTGGCCCTACCCAAATTCTGATTAGATTTGCTTTTGACTAATTTTGATGTAAGGGCTGCCAGCAGGGCTGGGCTGGGCTGGGCTGGGCTGGAGAGTAATGCACAGGTTCAGAAAGTCTCTTTGAGATATCAAATCCCTCACCAACAGGCAGCTGCTGACCTACAGGGAGGAAGACTCCCTTTGAAGAGAGTGCCATGTAGGACTCTAATAATCACTAAAAAGTAGAAAGTAAAACCCTGTTTTTTTCTGGAAGACACTTTGGGAACTTTGTGTTTGCCAGTCAGTCATCAAGCCTTCTTAGTTGGGAGTGAGAATGCCTGAGAGAAAAGCTACTTTCTTTTTTTTTTTTTTTTTAGAGACAGAGTCTCACTTTATCACCCTCGGTAGAGTGCAGTGGCATCACAGCTCACAGCAACCTCCAAATTCTGGGCTTAGGCAATTCTCTTGCCTCAGCCTCCTGAGTAGTGAGAAGAGTTAGTTTCTTAAGAAGAGTTGCAGTGTTCCAAAGGAGCCTGTAAGTGCGAGTTACTGCTAGAGGAGGTAGAGGTATGTTGAGGGGGAGTGTGACCCAGGTACCTGGGATCAGATCAAATAGGTGTCAGGGATGCCCACAGCAGGGTGCCACCCAAGGGCTCCTAAAAGTGGTTATAAGGCCCCAAGTGGCCCCTTGGAAGATCTGTCCTGGGCCCCGGAGCTCCACTGCTATAATCTCAGGGCAAAGTCACAGCTTACAATAGGCCCTGCAGGTATGACTCACTCAGCTTTTGAACAATCTTTTTTTTTTTTTTTTTTTTTTTTTGAGACAGTCTCACTTTGTCACCATTGGTAGAGTACAGAGGCATCACAGCTCACATCAACTTCAAATTCTTGGGCATAAGAGATTCTCTTGCCTCAGCCTCCTGTGTAGCTGTGACTACAGGTAGCTACCACAACGCCCGGCTATTTTTGGAGACGGGTTCTTGCTCTAGGGAAGGCTGGTCTCAAACTTGTGAACTCAGGTAATCCACCTGCCTTGGCCTCCCAGAGTGCCAGGATTACAGGTGTGAGTCACTGCACCCAACCAATCATTTTCTTTGAGTTAAATTTTGCTTCCATCTAGGTCTCTTAGCTCTGCACTGTGTGTTTTTCTGTGGAAGAGGGACCACTCTTGCCAAGGGCTCTGCAACACAGGAGTGGTTGAGACGAGGACACAGTGAAGAGGGCTGTGCTTTTTCATCTGGATATGACCTCAAAAACTTAGAATCCAGAGAGATTTAATCTCTGCCATAGAGGAGGGAGACCTCTAAGTAAAAACAATACTAGTGAAGTCTCGGAGGACCAAATATCCATTCTAACCCAACCCAGTTTTTCTCTACCTAGGTGGTCTATAATGTCACCAAGCAGAATCCACAGACTAAACTGGTGTAACTGGTGTTGACCACATTGGGTGGCCTTGGAGGTGCTGAGAAGTCCCACAGGTGTCTAGAGTTACTCCTTAGTTCTGGTTGGTTACACCCTGGGACAGCAGACCCTGGAAACCTATGAGGGGGTGAAGCATGTCCAGAGACAAGCATCTGAGTAAGACATCCACCCAGGGACTTGTGTCTGTCAGGAAAGAGGCTCTGGTGCTCACGTGGGAATGTGGGTATCTGAATGTGTATCTGCTTGGAGGACATGTCTGTGTAGAGTGTGCAGCTCCTTATGTGGTGTGTGTGTGTCTGGCAGGCTGTGTGTGTGAGTGTGTGTGTGTGTGTATTCTTCTCTATGCTCCTGAGTGTGATCTGTTTGAGTGTCATATACCTGTATGTATCTGTGTTCTTGCCAATTGGCAGGAGGAGCGCCCTTAACTGCCACTTCTAACAGTTCTCAAGCTCTCTGAAAGATCTCTAGGCCACAACAGCCCTACTCGTTGCTAAATACTATTTCCTCCTTCATTTTCCTTTAGTAGCATCCCTCCTGCTCTATGGGGAACAGCCATATCGAGGTTCACAAAGACTCTTTGGATCCAAGGAATGCCAGTTCATTGCTTCTTCTCCAGTGAGGAAGGTTTCTAGGCTGTGGATAGTCAAGGTAGCAACTGAGCAATGTCAAGACGGGTAAGAGAGTGCGTTGAAGCGGCCGAGGTCTGGGGAGATCAGAAGATACTCTGCATCAGTGGCTAGCTCCAAAAGGTGTCATACAGGGCAGGGGAAAGAGCTTGGCCTTACTTCATAGACAGTCTCTCCAAGACCTTTATACCTTTCACTGCCCAAAGGGAGCAGCACCTTGTGTGTGGGATCCCACAGCTGCTGACTCCCACTGATCAAGCTGGTCAGAAGGCAACTTTCACAGCTTCATTAAACAATCTGTGAGGGGGAAACACGCAGAGACTCTAAAGCAGGTGGTATGGGAAGATGTGATCAGACAACAGGAGCAGAAGCTCTCTTTCTCTGGATTACCTTAAAATACTTGTCTAGGATTTCACTGTAGTTGCTGCCTTTAGAGAACCAGCCGTCTGGGATGATCTCGGCTTCTAGCCACTGGATGAGGCGACGCCGGAGCTCATCACGGTTGGACTGATAGCAAACGACTGTGGGAAAGGGGAGAATGGCAGCTGAGTGGTGCAGGGAGGACCCCAACGTCATCTGGCATGCACTTTCTGGGGGCTCGGTGCCTTAGGCTCCGCACATGTTATCCCATTGGCTCTTCACAGCACCCCACGAATATGGGGTTATCACATCTAGGGTATACAGCAGGAAAGTGGCTAGCCCAGAACTCAAGCTCACATCTCTAAAACACTTATGAAGATAAGACTATTTAAACAGAGAGATTTGGTTGCTTAGGTGAGAAATAAGTAGAGCAGAAAAATAAAGGACATTTTCATTAACTTTAAAAAGCTGAAGGGGGAAAAATCAATCAATAGAGTAGCTCTCTTGTCAAAGATGAGCTGAAATAATAATACATGAATAAATGAAAACATTGCAACCCTTTATCGCCACTGAGTTTTGGATTCTCTCTATACAGTTTCTCTTTTTCTCACCAACTAGGTCTATCAAAACTCCTCCACTTAAAATTCTGCACTACCTGCCTCATCCTTTATTATAACCTCAGGACGTGAGGCCAAGGACGGGCCATGGTGGAGCCCTGCTCTGGAGAGCTGTTGTAACACATGGAAACAGGGGGGACTAAGAGTCAGGTGGATGGGGAAGCAGAGGAGAGAAGGGCTTGAGAGTAGCTCCTGGAAATCACTTGTTAGAGTGTTCAAAGGCCCATTCCCACTGGGCCAGGGGAATGGAATCTGGACATTCTTCCCCACTTTGCCCCCTCCTGGCTGTGTCATTTGTGGAAACTCACTTAGCCTCTGTGAGCCTCATGTTTCTCATCCATAAGGCAATTACAGCAAGATCTACCTCATAAGGTTATTGTGAGAGTCTAAGCAAAGTATATGCTAAAGGACTCTACAACTATAAATCATGATGACATTTTCATTCTTATGAATAGAAAACCATACAAGAAGTCTTACTGGCATTTCCAGTTATCTCCTTTCAAAAAGAGTCGTGTCTTCTAATTCTGCTAGTCCCAGAACATGAGCATATCTTGCAGGGCATTGAAAGAGGGACTCAGTGGCTTTCCTGTTCTTGCAGTTCAGTCACTGCTCAGAAAAAATGGGAAGACACAGCCACAGCCAATATTCTGACCCACCAGCTGCTTTACTTGGCAAACACAAAAAAGAAAAAAAAAGTAGCTTTGCAGCTTTTCTGAGCTGTGTTGAGGAGGGATCAGTTCTGGGTCACAAGTTCTGACACACAGAAGATCTTGTGAGCTTGGCAGGGAGTGTGGAACAAAAATTTCCGTCATGAAAAGAATTTCCTCTCTGAGCTACACACAGTAGGAAAAACAGGCACTCACCTGGGCTGGCAGACGGACTTACGGATTTCTTCTCTGCAAGATAAAAGGAAAAAATATGTAATGCAAAGTGAAGGAAAAAAAGGTGTATTTCCAGGATTAAAAGTGCCCCTCACTTTGGAGGCTGCTTACAACTCTTTCATCATTTTGTCTTGAATATTTACTTCCTTTCCTTCCTCAGGGGCCCAAGTATCCCCATACTTGGGGATCTTTTCTCTGCTGCTTTGTTTGATGTTTTGGGGTCACTGAGGTGCATTTCTTGTCTAATGCCTCCTCCTGTTGGGTTGAGGGGTCACCATGACTTTGAGAATTCATATAGTGGTAGTTCCCAGGGTACCATCAACTAGGAAATGCTTCTTATTTCTCCAAGGAAGGTCAGGCTGAAAGGGGCCACCCAGCCCTTGGTAAAGGGCTTACATCTAAGTAGCAAAAGCTTGGGACTTCTTCCCTCCGACCCAATGGCAATGGTTTTATCACAAAATAGAGAATCATTAACACTACCAGGGTTAAGAGGTACACAAATTAGAAAGCATGGAAAAGTACTATTTAGCTAATTTCTAAAAGGATACGGAATTCACTGAAGGAATTCCTATCCTCACTGATGATTGACGCGGTCGCCTTACCTACCATCCAGCTGTAGACCGTGCTGGAAAGCCTTCTGGAGGTCTGACGCAGGGAGCCCTGGGCAGGGGCCTGGGCAAACCCAGCAGACTCGTGAGTGTCGGGAGGAGGCATCTACAACCAACTGGGTGGCTGCCATAGTGCTGGGCAGCTGTGATCATGGTGGAGAGCCCATGTGGTCAGCCAGGCCACACTGATCTGTTCCCCAGCTCCCCACAATTACTGCACAGTGGCGAGAGCATGCCTTACTTACCCTTGCAGTGTCCATCGTAATCAACCTGGATTTTGGATCCAGTGAGGCAGGCATCGCGATGCAATTCACAGTGGTTGAGGTAGGTCTTGCCGTTACTGCCACACACAGGCCTCTTGTGAGGTTTGCATTGCTGAAACAGACCCGCAAGAGGATGTTTGTGCAGTCATGGGTACTGACAAACACACACATACATGCACACAGGCACATGTGATACATACACAGAGCCATCCTGTGAGAGGACTCCCCACCAACAGAGATAGAGCCCCTACCCCACCAGGCACAGGGAGACTCACTCTGGCTTGATCTAACAAACCCTGGACCCTACCCTACTTCACATGGGGCACTCCATTGCCTCCCAGTCACCCATGGCCCTCTGTGCCAATCCTGGTCCAGGGTCAACTCTTCTATTCAGTGAAGAAACAGACCCCCTGCTATGGTTTGAATGTTTGTGTCCTGGCCAAAATTCATGCTGAACAACCTATGAATATTAAGAGGTAAGGCCTTTGGGAGGTGATGGGGTCATGAGGGCTTCTGCCTTGTAAGGCCTGTGTAAAGAAGCTCCACACGGCTTTTGACCCTTCCACCTTTCTGCCATGTGACATTGCAATGTTCCAGGTGCCACCATACACACAGGGATGAGGCCCTCGCCAGACATCATCTCCATCTTGGACTTCCCAGCCTCCAGAACTATGAGAATGAAATCTTTATTATTTATAAATTACCCAGGCTCAGGTATTTTATTACAGCAGCATAAACAGACTAAGACACACCCTTCACACTATCAAATGAGCAGAGAAGGCATTTTATTAGAAGTCAGGAATTTGGCTTCCCTGACACCTTAGCACTTCAGAAAAAGTCACTGAGCAAAAAAAAAAAAGTCACTTTGGACGATCTAAGATCCTTCAAATTTCAAAAATCTAAGCTACAAAATAGGCAGACCGAGTGCTGGGAATGTGGAGGGACAGGCAGGCAGGCAGGCAGGCAGGCACACGCAGGCGCGCACGCACACACACACTCTCCAATTCTTCTGGGGTCTCACTATAAAGATATCTTGCTTTGTTTAGTATTTTGCAGCTGCTTTGTTTGTTTTCCTCCCAATCTCACAACCCCTGTTGTGAAGCTGGGGGCAGGAGCCTCTGAGAGTCTGTGCAGTGCCACAGAGAATCATTATGGACAGAGAAATGGAATAAAGTTCGCTTGGCAACTAGATTCTGCTCCGGCTATTGAAGGTGCCAAGATCGTGGGCAAACTAGGTTTCTTTGGACTTTTGTGTTTTTTTAAAGGGGGAAGGACATTCAGCTCAGATCTAATAAAAGGACTGAAACAAGAAAGAGCAGATGTGGTGGAAACGAGCACAGAGCACTGGAGCTGGAAGGCAGCCCACCCTTCCCAGCTGACGGGTGAGGAGACCAAAGTCCAGATACATGAACTTTACTCATTTTACTATGTTCTGGGCACCGAGCAAAACCAAATGTGCTATCTATTGGGAATTGGTTTGTTCAAAGTTACACAACTAGATGTGGCTGAGCTAAGACTAGATGTCAGATTGCCAGAACCCGAGTGGGGCTCAGGTCACCACACTGTGGCCAGGTGCCCTTCCAGGGAGGCTCTCCCAGAGCAAACAGACCCCCACAGAATCTGGTTTTTAGGTTTTCAACTTGAGAGACTCCTTTCTGAGGCAATGGATCAGGATCCTTAACCTGGGGGTTAAGTATTTAATTAGCAAAAAGATGTGTTTCCAGGCTATGAGTTGGTTTGGTAAAAAAGAGGGAGAAAGTGCATAGAAGTGGGAGAAAGTTACAGTAACACAGAAAACCACGTGGAATAGTATGCGCCAAACTGTTAACACCGGTTACCACAGACAAATGAGATTATGGAGGGTTATGGGGGAAGATTATTAATTTTATGTCTGTAAAAATGTCCGTACTATTTGACATCTATGAGGTAACTATTAATTTTTTAACTTAAAAAAATCTTAACACATTTTTTAAAAAGGAAATGTTCCTGCATTAAAAATCAGGCATCTGTTTTTTAACCCTTGGGATAAAAAAATCTGTCTTTCAGATGGATGAGGTGCACTTTTACACAGAGAATGAAATCACTGGCCCTGCCCTGCTGACTGGCGGCTCCCACAAGGCAACCCCACTGCCCTGGGCCACTGTCGTCTGGCTCCCGACAGCAGGACTTACCTCAATGCAGAGGCAGGTGGGTTCTCCTTTCTCTGTAACTGCACATTCCCGGCCGGCCCCACAAAACACATTGGCACAGATCTTGGATTTGCTCCTTAGTTCTTCCTACAACATAATCATAAAAGAAACCATGTTACTGAGATGGAGCCCATCACAAGAGGAGCCAATGGGGGTGAAGTGATTACCTTTCAGGCTTTGGTCTGGGATTGGCCCATGCAAAGGGTCCTGAATAGCCAGAAGTTGCCTCTAACAGTCAGTGTCATATTCCTAGGCACTCCTCTCTCTAAGACTGCTTCTCAAAGAGTAGGAGTTCCTTTCTTGCATGCTTCCTTTCTTCTAAAAATGTTTATTGAACACCTATTTTATGCCAACACTGTGCTGAGGGTTGGAGGTACATAGGACGGTCCCTGTCCTCAAGAAGTTCCATGACCGGCACTAGAAACTCACAAAGAAAGAGACATTTGGAAAGCAATATGGAAGAGCAATAACAGAAGCACCTGCAGGCTGGGGGGTGAGATCAGATGAAATGGTGAAGGGTACAACACCTAACTGACTCCTGAAGATAAGAGTTACAGGTGGAAATGGAAATGCTGGAGAGAAATATGAATATATGAAGGACCCAAACCTCACTAGGTGGTGTTCAAGGCAATGCCATCTCAAAGAACGATGGGCAAACCACTAAGAACTCGGATTTGTTATGGACCTATCTGGCCCGTGTTCACATCTGGCACTGGTTTCAAGATTCAGAGAGCCAAACCACGTGATTGGCAGTAGAACTATCTGCAAACCATTTGCTGGCCTGGCATTCCTATCCAGACATATGCAGCAGAACTTACAAGGCAGGAAAGTCTCATTGTATGCCCCCTGCAAATATGGGTATGGACAAGCACTAATGTGTTGGTGACACATTCCCCCCTCCCATTCATTGGTGGCACAATCCCACATCATTTACTGCTTAGCCTAGAAGTAGTGGTAGTTAACTAATGGCGAATGTAATTTCTCCAGCTGTTTGCTGGGCAAAGTCCCCAGAAACCTCCAGGCCCAAGCTCACTAGACTGGCATTGGCTGTGACCAAATCAACAAAGATGGTAGGATACGCAATGAGGTCGCAAAACCAGCTGTGGGAAAGGCAGGGTTGGAACACAACAGCCCACCCTCCAGGCCACAGTCTACCATGTCATATAGAGAACTCACACCCACAAAGCTTGCAACAGTAAAATTCTTAAAGTTGGCAAATGTTTCATATCCAAGATCAGGTTAAAAAAAAAAAAAACACCAAAAAGCAAAAGTAGATACTTTAGAGCTGCGGAGCTGCGTCCAATACAGCTGGTCTGCTGCCACCCACAGGCTGTTCTGCAAACTCCAGGTTATTGTTTCCTGTGCAAAGCCGCCAGCCTGCCATGCAGGGCTCCCATTGGTCTAGAAACTGTTGTCATGCTCACATTTCATTGGCTCCCATGCTGTTGCTAAACCAATTCTTTTTTGGATGTTGCTAAGGAGAATTCGATAAAGCTGGCAGGCCGGGAAGAAAAGAGGAAGTAATTCCCAGAAGGCTAGCCGTACTGCAGAGCCGTTGTTTCCTAAACAGGGCGTGGAGAACAAATCAAGCATAGTCTCCAGGCAGGGGCCTCTTGTGATAACTATGCCTGGAAAATGGAAGGCAACATTAAAATAAAGAGGAAAAGACTACTGCTGGCCAGTATAAAACAATTTCAGATAAGATCACCGTCTTTTCTTCCCTCTACCCTAGCCAAGGGATAAGGACAAATATGCACCCCCATGGGTGTGTCTTGAGTTACAGACACACAAATGCACAAAAAAGCACGTGCAGACATCTGCCTGCATGCACACACTACACACAGCTCCACAGGCAACCCCCCACCAACCTCCACCATCTAACCATGGGTCCTTAACCAGAGATTTTCATTCTTTCAGCCTCATGTTTCCTCATCTCTAAAACAAAGGTAAATACCAGTCCTGTCCTGGTATTAAATGAAAGAATGTATTTGTAAGTACATCATAAACCATAAAGCAAGCTGCCTGTGTAAAGTGTTATTAATGGGAATGCATTATAGAGCTGCTTGCAGAAAAGCCTGTGGCATTTATGGAGCCTTTTATCTTACACTGTTGTTTTTACTGAGTATTAAAAACAAGACTTTTTATTTACAGGTTGAATTCAACCCGAGTCACTTTTCAAAAATAGTTCCTCAAAAATTCACTTGAAGAAACAGATTACCTTTGATTTAAGTTGTGACAACTAATATTTGAATAGTACAATTAAAATTTGCAAAGTGTTTTCATACACGATTTCATCTTACTGTGCAGACAACCTGGCACAAACATGTGTATTATTATTAACTCCATTCTGTGGATGAGAAAACTGAAGATCTGAAAGGTCAAATAATTGGTCAAGGTCCCAAAGGCAGAAATGAGAGGAGCGAGGGTTCCAACCCTATCTTCAGACCATATGTAACTAAGCTCCCATTATCAAATATCTGGCATCCTACTGAGTGATTTTTATTGTATGTTATTTAAGTTCTACAATAATGCCCTAAGTTCAGCATCATTACTATCCCCAGAAAAAACTGAGATTTAAAAACTAGAAAGTGGTGGAGCCAGGGTTCTACCCAAGCAAAAAGAAAGCAGTTTTTATTTGATGTATTTTCACATTCTTAAAGTTAAGAAAATTATGACAGGGATGTGAAATGTGTAATTAGCAAGTGTTGGGAGACAGTGCATTAGAGAGTTAGATGTGAATTACCCATGTGCCACCTCTGTTCCTTGTTTGCCATGCTCATGGGCATAGTACCCTCTTTAGACCTCAGTTTCGTTGTGTGTGAAGGGAAATGCTACTTGGAGGGCTGTTGTGAGGATTAGATGAGACGTACTGAATGCACCACACAACTGAAAGTGGCTACTATTCCAGCAGGCAATTTATTTTCTGACAATTTTCCCACTGAGACACTGTCATCAGCACCTTGGGCTGTTCTTTCCTCATTTGCCCCTGTCGTCCCTTACACTGGAATGAAAATACCGAGCAGGAAGACTGAATGAATGGAAAAAACAAAGGGTCTATCAGCCCCTGGTGGCTTGTTTGAAGAGCACAGAGAGAGGTGGGAGCCACTGGTTACACACACAATCATTCCTCTTTGCAGGTGACATGTCTGTCAATAGGTGGCAATCTCTCTCTTTGTGTCGCACAGCCCAGAGCCGCAATGCAGAGGCACAGCTTTAGCAGCTCTGTCCTCCCAGGGAGAAGTGTCGAGGGAGTACAGGGCAGGTGCCCACAGGCACTGGCAGGGGGATCTGTCAACTCGGGAAAGGTCTCACCTGCAGTCTCACAGCCCTTCCCGGTTCTCCGCATTCAGAAGCATGTTTTAATACAGAAATCAACTATGACGGCAATTTCTCCAGGGAAGTGGCCTTCGAAAGCCCTCTCCAAGCCCTATCTTCTCTGGGGGTGGGAGAGGCAGCTGCATCCCTGAAGTGCCTAGAAAGTTCCTTAGGGTAGTAGCTGGTATCATCTATCTGCTGAGTGACTGATTCTGAGTGGAGGAAAATAATGCCTTTGAGAGGGAACGAACATGGCACAGACATGCTCCTTGGCCAAAGTGGTGGGAGCAGAAGTCGTGGAAAGGGGCAGAGGGATAAAACAGGGTGGCAAGGGTTGGTAGGGAGAGGGCAGTCTCCCCAGCTGATCTGAGGGGCTTTCCACCAGTCCCCTGAAGGTTGGGATTGAGTGGGTGATGGGATGAATGTGGTGCTTTGGAATGTTAATTAGTGTCAGGTCCCTTCCAATTCTGAAATTCTGATTCAAAGTGCAGGGGAGGCTGGATGGAAAGGCTGGAAGCAGGGAAACCTGGCAGGTCTAAGGCTGCAACCAGGTCAGGGTGACAAGGGCCTAGGGCTCAAAGCTAATATTAATTGCAGCACCTGCCACTGAGTAAGGCTCTGCACAGGTATCTCTGTCCTCACAACCTCTATGCAGATTTCTGTATTTTTAGTCCCAGGTAACATGCAGAGGCATTTGAGAGTCAGAAAAGCTCTGTGAAACATGGGGGCCACAGAACTAGCAAGAGCTGAGTCAGGAACAGAACATGGGTGGCCCAACTCCAGAGCCTCAAGGTTCCCTTGCAGGGTACAATCAAGGGGGTGAGCTTTGGGGAGAAGGGTCGCCTCCAAGGGCTGGCCCTGGATGAGGTCACAGGTACAATGAAGTTCTGCGAATGAAAAAGAATTGTTCGCTTTGCCACCAACATGATCTTAAGAGTTAGGTTCTCAGGCTGTCTGAGAAATTTCACCTCTGCAGAGATAACCATGTTGGCGTGTGTGTGTCCTCTGGGAGTGTGAGGTTGCAGTCAGGGCCATTATTATGAAAGTATGAACCCCTAAGTCTGAATGTGCCTGTGACATGTAATTGAGTGAGTAGGGGTAGGGCACGTCTGTCAATCCGGGTGTGCACATCCAGAAAGACTGACGAAAATCAATAAAAAGTCTGCCTTCAAACATAGAAACATTAAGTTTCTAAATTTATCCTTCCACATCACATCCCTGACAGGCCCCCATGTTGTTTTCATTATGTGTCTTGTGTGTCAGGCTCCCAGAGTTTGGGCTCAGGGTTAATTTGCACACTGCAAACTTCCTTTGATAAAAAACTGACCAGGAACATTCCTGACTTTTACCAAGTAGAAACTTTCTCTCTGAGCAACTGTCAACCATTACCTAGCAATAATGATACTTTATACTTGGACAGTAATTTTGATTAATGTGTAATTTCTACTCTCTTTTTGTGTGTGTATGTGTGTGTGTGAGACAGAGTCTCACTATGTCGTCCTCGGTAAGAGTACTGTGGTGTCACAGCTCACAGCAACCTCGAACTCTTGGGCTTAAGCGATTCTCTTGCCTCAGCCTCCCAAGTAGCTGGGATTACAGGTGCCTGCCACAATGCCTGGCTACTTTTTTGTTGTGTCATTGTTGTTTAGCAGGCCTGGGCCAGGTTCCAACCCGCCAGCCCCGGTGTATGTGGCGAGGGAGCCGAGCCCTTTACTATCATTTTTGATCTTCAAAATCTTTAAGATAGGGAGGCAGGAGTTACTGCTAAGGCC